CACGGGGTGCCCGCCCCCCCCCAAGCCGCCATAGACATCGGCAGCATCCCCGGAGCTGCTCTGCCCTGCTGAAATAACCTGCCTCTGCCAAACCTGCCATTTGGCCTGGATTTATTTTTCCATAGCGTCCTGTGAAGACTAAAAAATCTGGAGCTGTAATAGTCTTGGCTTTGCTGGCATGGACTCGGCTTCCGGAGCTGGTTTTGCTGTCGGACCGCAGCTGGGCTCGCTGGCATTTTCCAGGGAAGTCACCCAGCAGCTGACGGAGCAGCTGGCTCTGCGCTGGGGGGCTGCAGCTAAACCAGCCCTACGCACACAGGGGCTGAATTTTACCCATTTAGAAGGTGGATGCTAAGAAATCAAAGGGTTAAATGTTTCTTCTGCCTTTTGGTAGAAGAAACTGGGGCATTTCTTTTGGGCCAGCTCAATGCCCCTCTTGGTCCCACGGACACCAGCAGCTAATTCCCATTTCCCCCCTCACCTGCTTCTCCCCAGCACAGATCCCAGGGGCTACGCGCAAACGGTTACTGCAAATAACAAAAGAGTGGCAGACAAATGACCTGGAAATGTCACGGGCAGGTTAAACTCAACACAGGGCCGCGCGCCTGCGGAGCAAGCACAAGCCCTGTGACCCGAGCCAGCGGCAGGGGTCTAACGCCGAGGGCATCGGATGGGTGTTGCAGTCACACCCAGTGCCGGACTCCAGTTTCAAGGAAACCCTTCACACGATATTGCATCTGTCCCTTGTCTAGGTTAAACTGTAAGCTTTTTATGGCTAGGAAGGGCTATTTTTGGACTCTGCACTGATGCTGGCTATCAGCAGGCTGTGCTGAATTCAGCCTGCTTCCCCTCCGCTGCCTGCTTTCCTCCTTTCTGCTCTGCCTCTCTTACCTCTTGCTTTCCTCAGTATTTTCCTCTCCACCTAACCCGTCTTTGCAGCGAGTGCAAAGGGCCTCTAGGTCTGAGAAAGTCCCGTTCGTCTCTGCATGGCGTCTGTGGCACTTTTGGGCATAAGGCGGCTTAGCCGCCTGCTTAGACATCCTTGCCCCTTGGGGCAGCCAGCACAGCACAGCTGGGCCGCTGTAAGGAAGGCGGTTCAAAGGTTAAACACAGCAATGGATTTCCCTGCTTGAGTAAGCCTGAGTCATCGCCTGATCCCACCCTGCTTTCCTTCAGAGTCCTCCCTGTTCCTCGGGGACAAGCAGGAGCAGTTGCTCAGCCTGCCCTGCTGTCCCCAGGGACGCCCAAGGCGGGGAGCCCTGGGCAGAGGCAGCCCCCGAGGGCAGGGACGGGGACGCTGAGGTGCCCGGGGGCAGGAGCCCCAGAAGACTCACGTCCCGGGGTGCTGCTGCCCGGCCGTGGCCCCGCGCCAGCCCGTTGCCAGTGGCAGTTGGGACCAACAGCTGCGGGTTCTGGTTGGAGAT